TCACTTCTACTGTCGTGGTAAACAACCTGCTTCCCTATTTATAATGGTCTGGCCCTCTAGCAACTTCAGCGCGAAATTATAGCTAATTATAACTAATTCGCCTAAAAACGTCAGGTGGTCATAATAATCTGGCCACTCAGTGTATGTGTAACCCATCAGGTTATGCAGGTATTTTCTGTCATCACTGCAGCTACAAATGGTATGTAATGTCTGGGGTTAGCATTATCCAACCTCCACTTAAAGGGGTTCACAACAAGAATAACAGTTTGTAAATACTAAATAGTTACTGAACAAATAAGAAAAATTCATGAAATACTTCCAATTCTGTTAAAACAAAAAAAAAATAGAACTGTGTTATTTGTAAATGTAAGACTTGCATGCTCTGCTTTTGTTTATATGCCAGTTTTCCAAGCCCTTTAGTTAACGGAAAACTACTATCCACATTTACGCCTTCAGCTCTGTAATTCTGGCTGTGCACACTGTCCTAATTTAACCCCTTCGCCTTCCTAAAGAACAGTTCTGCCAAAATCTGCTGCATCGATCCTGGGAACGTTCCCGGAGTTCTCTAGCTGTTCCGAGAACTAGACACATATGGCAAGCCTGTCAGTCAGCACTAAGCAGCCATATGTAGCGTGGGATGCCTGATCACTACAAAATATCTAAGGGCCTCCACTGCACTCATTTTGGTATAGCAAAGCCTTATTTAGACTCTTGGGCTTCATTCACACTTTCCACTTGCTTTTTTGTCCGCTATCGGCAGAGGCAAATCTGTCAGGTTAGATGCTATGTTTATGCTTCCAGATGCTTTAAATGATGCATGTTTACATGTGTTTTGTTGTGTTAGAAGTTCAAATCAGTTCCTAGATGCCCCTGACTTCTATTTTTTGAAAACACAGATAAATTGACCACAGATAAAAGCATCTAGACGCAAGGTTTGGAACTCATTAGATGCATATACACATATATATATATATATATGCATTTACAAAAGTTTTTTAAGTGCATATAAAACATCTAAGTGCACATGGTGTGAATGAAGACTTAGTCTTTACATATGTTCAGTGCATTGTGTTAATTCGCACATATTAACATGCGTTATTTCATATGTTGCAATGCATTTTGTTAAGGCGGGCCATCTGCATGTTGAGCAGTTCATTTGGGTGTTAATGTGCGTATTGTCAATGTGCGTATTGTGAAGGCTGCCAATCGTGACCCTTTCGAAAATGTGAATTGTCTGATTGGCATGTTGATCCAAAGGCTTTAATGCTTCTTATGTCACTGACCCTCAACAAGAATACAGATCAGGAGTTCTGAATTCACTTGCTGAATGCTTGTTCTTAATCAGTATTACAAAACTTTTGGGAGTCAGAGACACAGTCAGAGAAACAGAATTTTCAGTTGAAAGCAATAGCGGCCTACAGGTTTCCTTCAACTGACTTGCGGCTGTCTGAATACCCGAACACCGACTGCATCTGATTGGATCTGACATAATATAAAAAATAATAAATACACTAAGAACGTGTGTTTTGTGCATGCATTCGCACACAATTAACATTTGTAGAGATTCACTGGGCGAATGGCTCTAGGAATTGTTTATAAATAGACCCCTTACTGTGTTTCCTCTATGTCAACTGCCAATCTGCCACCGCTAGAAAATGTAGGCCAGTAAGGAATGGAATGGTTTCCAAGATCTCTTATTCTAATGCATAAATATGTTATATCAGGCCTTTGATTAGCTCATGTGAAAATAAAGGAAAATGCCTGGGGAAGGGACTGATCCTTTTCCTATAGAGAAGAGGGAAATGTAGAATTATTCTGTGAACAGTGTCAAGTCTTCCAATGCTTGTAAATGTTTACCACTGCTGAGATGTTAACCTACGTATTGTATGAGTAACAAAATTCACTCTGCTTATGTAAACTGCACTGTTGGCCAGAGGTGTTACCAATGTGTTAGGGCTGCTCTGGGTGTTTTTTTCAGCGCAGCCTCAAAGCAAGACAAAGCAATTTGCCTTGTTTCGGGTGGGTTCAGTTCACACTACAGCGTTGCGGTGGTGTGCACTGAAAAAAAGTACAGCGTGCACTACTATCGCATTGTACCATACTGTGCCCATAGCACTTAATGTAATGTCACTTGTGACATTTAAATAAAGTTCTAACAAAAATAAGGAAACAGAATGATGCATCGCTATCAACGCAACATCACTGTGCCGTGTACACGGCGTGGCACGGCTGCTGGTGTGAATGGACCCTTAAAGTCATTTAGATGTCTCCCTATTCTACAGAGCTGCACTATGCCACAGTCCTCTTTCTGACTTGCCTTTGGGTGTTTGCATGGTGAAATACTGAGGCTAAATTACTGGTGGAGAATCTTCACACTATAAAATTATGTGAATATTTACTTCAATTATACAATCATGTGAAAAGCAAATTCTTGTACAATTTGAATACTCTTGGAAAACTGAAGCTAACATACACACAATCAGCCTCCAGGTATAGATGTGGTAATGAGCACTACCAACAGTTGGGAGCACCTGTTATCAACCTTTAAGGAAGTCCCACATGACCCAAACTTTGCTTGATCATTGCAATTAAATATTGGAGTCAAGTGGCATATTGACAACTCTTAGTCATTCTCAGGGTTTCGCATACACTTTATGCCAAGATAACAAACTATTACCACTATTAACACAATTTCAGTTTCCCAAGTAGCAAACATTTTCATTAAATAACTCACTTTTTCTTAACATGAACATCAAAATGTGTTCTCATTAACAGGGAGTGGATATCAACAGTTTACATATGGTAATCTACATATGGTAATCTGCATCTACGGTCCAACCACCAAATGGTCGTTTGTACAAAAGATTGTTCTGCAGACAACCATGCTTGGACTGGGTCGAGTGGACTGATGGAAAAGAAAAAATGCTCCATTCCCCCATCCACGCTAAGCAGCTTGGATGGGGGAATCTCCCCTGCTGAGCTATTGTATTTTGACAGCAGGTGCACGCAGCTGATAGAATACCCAAACACTGACTCCACGCCATCACTACACTGGTGGTGAAATGACTTGTTATGGGGGGGGGGGGGGGTCTCAAGTGTAGCCCTTGATGTCATAGGAGTTGTTGGAGACTGTAGACATGCTTCAGGAGACAGTCATGGACTGAAGCCACAATGGAAGAGACTTTGAGAGATCACTATTACAGTTTCATTACAAATTAATAATTGGGAGCATTTTACACCAGTTAGATGCAGTGTTTCCTAATACATCTGCAATCACAATAGAGATGAATTATTACAAGCAGCAAAAATGTCATAGTGGTTTTTAGTTTAAGAAAAAGCCATGGTATCTAATGATTTTTCTTTGTCACCAGGACTACTATGCATTTCTTCGAGCGTGGGTAAACTCTAACAATTAGACGAGATAGCCTACACACAGTGAGAATTTTTTTTATTTTTGCTAATAATCAAACTATTTTTCAGTTTACAGTATCTGCCAAGGCAGAAAAATATCTTGTATTGCCTTTTTAATCTTGCACACATGTTAGCAACTAAGCGTGAGCTGTGGGGTGCCTGGTTTAGTTCACTCGGATTCTCTACAGCTCAGACATGTGTGAAACAAGAAGTCATTAACCCCTATAGTAACAGAAACTCAGCAACAGCAGAATCATGGCTGGAACCTAAATGCCATAATAGTGAAAACTAATCTTCAGGTTACAATTATGGATGGAAGAACCAACTTGTTTCATACTCTTATTAAAGTTAGGTGCAGTATATGTCTACTGATTAGTTACTACTGAGTAGTTTTGTTGTATACACGACTATTACATGTAAGGATGGTCTTACAAGACCCATTTTCAATCTGATCTGATTATTGCCTGCAATGACTGGGTGAGAATCAAGCTAAATAGGGCTTTCCTATGGGATAGGTACAAGCTTCTCCACAGGGGTGATATTTTTCAGCTTCATGGAAGATCTATCTGTGATGGAGTCAAATCTTAACTTTTGTCTGAGGAGAAATAAGAGGAAGGGTTTAAATTATGTGCAGCACTACAGAGCATTGGCTCTGAGATAGATATAGCCCGATAGCAAGTGTACTCCTGGGTATAGTTAGGCTCCGTTGTAGGCATGGAAAACCAACTTAAAATAAGCTTCACCCAACACTTCTGGGGAAAAAAAATCATCCACATGAAAGAGTTTGGATTGGAGGGGGCTGGCTTATGTAATGGGGGGGGAACTCACTCTATAGTAGTTGTAGAAAGTTACAGTATAGTAGTTGTAGAAAGTTACAGTTTGGCAGGTGTGTCCTAAATGTAAAAAGGGGTTATTTTTACTTCAACATATGGAGTGTATATAGCTATACACTGACCATGAAAAAGCGTATTTAAACCCAAAGTCAATAATTAAATAAACAGTATAGGTTAGGTCACGCTCCAGTAATCCATAGGCAGTTCCTGGCATAGGGCGACAAAGCTCACTTACAGTGTTTTCATGCAGAAGCAATGTTGTCACTCCATTCAGCATACTCCCTGCGAGAACTACAGGCCGCCTGGTATGTCGAGACCTATCAATACTTGCAAGCAAAGCTTCACGCATGTATGGCTGACAATGGCATTGGCAAGGAGGATCAGTGGTAGGGCCACACAAGATGGATGTGCATCCATGGCTACGGGGTGTATATGATCCGAGGATTTTGGCCATAAGGGATGCTGAAATGTGCATAGTACAAGGATACATTTCTTCCAAAAGTCAGGTAAATTGCCTTAAAAAACACATCACTTACATGAATCAGATTTGCACTAAATAATTTTCAATAAAAACACTTATTCATGCATCTTTACGAAATCTCATTGTTAACAGTAGATACTAGAGCAACCAAGGTTTATGTTAGCTCACAAAACTGAATTTCAATATGCCACATCCCATATCTTATAGAGTCTATTTTAAATACCATAGCTTTGAAGTAATAGTAGAAATAATGGAATACAGTGATATTAACTTACAGTGGCACCAGCCCAAGTGACAGCACCAGTGGAGTCTGAAGCACTTGCCGTGACTGTGGGTGGCACAGATGGATAGTCCGTCACAAGGCTTGAAATCTGGTCTTCCGGCACAGCTCCTGGCCAGAGCTTGTGCTTCATCCACCTTATCATTCTTCAGGCACTTTTGGGCAGCTGTGGCTGTCATCTCTGCCTGGAAGCCTGGTCTGCAGGCAAGGAGAGATGTGCCGCTTTCAGGATGAAGAGATGGTTCCTGGAACTGAATTATAAAGCTGCTTTAGTAAAATGTGCCAAAAACAATGCGAAAAATCACACCATTGTATGTTACAGATTCACAAGATATCAAATCACAGATGGATTAGCATTGGATATTAAACCCACATCCAACAGATAACTGCCACTGACACATTTTTATTCTGTCGAAAAAAGGAGTTAAACTACAAACTCCCCCTCTAGCGATACTCGAGAAGAGACTTACTGGATTAATTTTGAAGATACTTTCCTGCTTTAAAATGTTATTACTAGGAAAGAAGGCGCAAGTCAGCATTGTGATACTGAACTGAGTAAGGAGTTGTGTCTTTGATTTGTAAGTGATGTGACTCACACACAGGTAGCTCAGAGACAGAATAAAACATGGCATCAAGCAAAAATGAGCTTTTCACAAAAACCAAGTCTGGATTAATGACTTCTAGTAAAGGGTATAATAGGCATGGGAACAAGCACTAGCATTCATACTACTGCAGCTAAATGTATTTACATATAAACAGTTGTGACAAAGGCTTGGCTAGCTGCTGTGTGTAATTTAAGGGGTTTTACCTTATCACTTATGGGTGGACCTATCCTTGAAACATTTCAAGGATAGGAGATGCATTACCATTATATCTACTCCATGCACCAACACATTCATGAGGGCTAGAGATATCAGCATCTTATGGAGTGCAAGTATACTTTCAAAGTACACTTAGCTAATCTGCTTAGCCCTCCCTACCTAAACCAGTCCTTCTCAACCAGGGTGCCTGGCTTCCTTAGGGGTGCCTTGAAATGTTCACACAAAGTCATGCCTGTGATGTGAAGAAGGCTCCTGATGTGGAGGATGTGGACTCTGATGTGAAGAGGGGGCTTCTGATGTGAAGGGGGGCTGTAATATTAAGGGAACTTTCATGTAAAGGGGAAATCCTACTTCTTTTGTATTTGTTTTGTATGTGTTTTTGTATAGGGGTGCCCCCTTCTTAAAATCCATACCAGACCTGCATCTCTTATAACAGTTTGGTATGGATTGTAGAGGGACCACATGGTTTTTTAACATTTACAGTTTTTATACTTTAGACAGGGGTGCCTCGAGAATTAGTATACTTGTACGTTTGTGTTGTGACTGAAAAAAAGTTGAGAAACGCTGACCTAAACTAACAAACACCCCTTTAACTTTCAAGCATAGTCAAATGTCAATTTCGGAAATCGTTTGTTAGCCATACTAACCAACCAATTTTTGATGGCAGAAAAAAAATGTCCTTTTGCGCATTTGCCATGTTCTTGGTGGGATCTTTTACGAACGAAAACCCCACCGCTTCATTGATTTTTGTTTAATCACAGAAAAAGTTTCCAACCGGGCCGATCGAAAAATGTCCATCACAATATCAAAAACGAAAATCAGTGATGTACCATCAACTGGTTGATTGTCATTCGAAAGATCGTGTGTGTAGTATTTCCGAATGCAAATCGCACAATGTATGGCTGCCTTCAGAATGCTCACTGCGTCAGGTCTGCCATTGGCGAACAAGCTCTGTAAACAACAGGGCTAGGCATGACTGTCTTCCTCAGGTAAGCACTTAACTTTAGGAAAAATAGGAGGATAGCACTGGTATTATCTGGATTCTGGGCAGGCCGCATATTTCCTATTTACTGTTTTTGTAAAGTCCAAAAATGAAGCACCATACCAGAAGTTGATTGTCAAGGCACAAATTTATTTCAAAAAAGGATAAAATATTTTATTAAACAGTCAATGCATTTCAGGGGTAAGAAAATGCCCACGTCCTCAGTGCTTACAATTAGAAATAGCGTTTACCGAACTGAAAAAAATATATTTCTTTCTTTTTTAACCAAGCTGGTATAGAAGCACAGTGTTGGCAGCTCAAGCCAACTTCTGACAAACGCTATGCTTTTTTTTTACCAGCCTGGTTACAAAACTGCATATACTATATTAAGTCAAACCTTTTATAACTTTTTGGAAAAATTTATGTCTGGATGATCAACTTCGATCAACACTTCTACTCAGGTAAGCAAGTAGCTGAGGGAGGTGGGGAGAAAATGAGTTAGGGGAAGTCAGGAGGGCAAGACAAGGTATAAAAGTGTCGGACATCACACTTAAACTTTTAAACGAATATATCGTGTTTATGTACATATTTACTAAGTTCAGGACCAAAAAAAAAATCATAATAATTATGCTATCCCATCTTTCTTATGCCTCCACCATCTCCCTGCTATGTAGCAGCTGTAAAAAAAAAAATTATATTGGCTGTGCTGTCTGCCAATAAAAAAAATAATACATTCAGCCAATCAGGAAAGAAGGGGTAACATTTTTATATGTTGGAACACTTCATGGATTTCAGACTTCTGAAGGAAAAGTTGATTTTTACAGAGTTTTCACAGCTGTTATCTACAGATTGCTAGATTGCTATGAAACGAGGGCAGAGCAATCAAAAACTCTTAACAGTCGCTATGCACAGTCACCTGCAGAAAAAGGAATATATATTGGTTTTAGGACAACTCAATTATAAGGTATTTTACTTTCTATGTTTTTAAAATGATGTTTTATATCTGTGTATATATATATATATATATATATATATATATAGACTAACTATACATT